TCTCAGCTTCACACCAGTGTCTGAGGCTTTCTGGAATATTCCACGCTCCTCCTATCCCCACTTAGCCACACCTGGCCAGACCCCACCGCCAGGACTCAGAGAGCGTGGATTTTGCTGGGAAAATTGCAAGCACAGGTAAGCCCCTAGCAAAAGCCCCAGCTGCAGGCTGTGGATGGAAGCTCCTTCCAGCCCAGGGGAGACCCTCATCACAGAATGAATGTAAATCAATGGCAGGGCCTGGGCCCCATTAGTCCAGCATTGGAGAGGGATGCAAAGCTCTGAGGTCACCGAACACCATCTGAATGCAGACCCACAAGGCAATGTTCTCTGTACAGTGAGAGGCCACTCATTTTTCTAAGCTGAAGGAGCCAGGACACCTTAGTTCTCAAACTCAGATGTACCCAAGGAAGTGCAAGGACTGAAGATTCCCAGGCCATAGATTCTGAAGACTTTAATTCACTGGGTTTGAGGGGCCCTCTAGAATTTGCAGTGGATAAAGATCTCTCACTAGGATACAGCGATAAGCTAAGTTACACCATGAGGAAGTGACCAGATAAGAAGTCCAGAAAGTAGGAACTTAAGCAGAATAAATGATCTGACTCCAGCAATCCAGATTCATGTAAATGTAAAGGATGGAAAATTAAAGGATGAGGCAGAGGGGGGAAGGGGGGGCATGGCACTGGGTCGCTCAGGACACAGAGTTCATGGGGATGGGTGGAGTTAGCACAGGCCCGGTTAGGGCCTGGACGTCTTTAGCTTTAAAGAAACAACTAATTGTAAGGGATACCTGTGGGTCAACTGAGCTGATTTTCTTATAGAAAGAAACAAATTATTTTCCTATAGAAAAATGTGATCCATGTGTGTGTGTGAGTGTGTGTGTGTGTGTGTGTGTGTGTGTGTGTGTGCACGCACACGCGGTGCTGGAGATGGAACCAGGGCCTGTGTACACCAGGCAAATACTCCACCACCAAGCCACGTCCCCAGTCCTAGAGACTAAGGAAAGCAGTTTTGAAAATAGCATGCATGATGCCGTTTCACTTTGTTCAAAGATATATAACACACACGCTTACACATGTGCATACACACACGTACACACTCTGCTAAGAAGCTGGAGGGACCACATTAAGACTGCTGGTCTCCAAGTTCTTACTTTTGCTAATATGACTTATCTAAATTCCTACCAAACACATGTGATGTTTCATAATAATAAATTTTTTAAATTAATAAAACAAAGACCAGTCTGGGTGAGAAGTAAGCCTTCTAGCAGTTTCTTAACTTCCTGGGGAAGTGGGATCACCTGGGGCACCCATCAGGCTGGCTTCTCAGGGTCCCAGGGACTTCTCAGGGACTCTATGGGAGGGGGGCTTTCAGATGGACCTGGGTCCTTCCTCAGCAGCCAGGTTGAGAACCTCTCCCTTAGTCCAGCTCTGGGGGTCTAGGTCACATCATGGGGTTCCCCTGGGCAGGCCTGGGGACAAGCCCCTGATTCTCAAATCCTAATAATCCCCAAGTGAAAGTACGCTGCTGCCCCTGCAACACTAGGGAGCCAAGGTGGCGGACAGACAGGAAGACACCTGGAGCCTTCTCAGAGAAACGCCTGCCGTGCCCTGTCAACAGGGCTGCCCTGGAAACATCTAGACAAGGGGCACCAAAGCAAGGGTCCACAACAGCCTCCCAAAGACTGTGAAAAGGCAGAGTGCAAGGTGATAGGGCCTGGTGGGGACCATGGAAGCCCTGATCCAGATAGGCAGCTGCTGCCGAGTGCTGAGAGTCTTAAATGAAATCTCATTTTGAAAACATGGCACAGTTCAAACAAAATAAACCTGCCAGCCAGGCCTCAGGCCAGGAAAGTGCCCTCCATCTCACTGAGAGTAGGTGAGCTCCAAGATGGGGTTTAACCAAAATCACTCTTGCTGACATTGAAAGCAAAAAGCCTACATGACAGACATTTGTGAATACTCAACTCCTTTGAATTACAGTGAACACGATGAGAATTAACTCCAGTTGGCACTTGGACATGCTGTGTAGACTCTGTCCCAAGGCAGAGAAGGGGGACCGCAGAGGGAAGGGTGGGGGACTATCACAGGGGCCGGTGGGTGTCCTGAGAGGGCCAGGTATTGGACACCTCTTCCCTTTAGCTTCTGTCCACTAACCATCTCACAGGTGGACATTCTCAACCACGTCCGAGACTTGCCCTGAGTCAAAGTTCTTGAGATTTGCAAGAAAAACCTACGGAAGCTCCACAGGCAAGCTGACTCATGAATCCTGTTTACATTGTTCACTTCTCTGATTGCTCACCTTTCAGATTTCTGAGCACTGTTCGGGGGGGAGCCTGCTCCGTTCATTTACTTCAGGTTTCTAACTGACCAGGGTGACAGTCCCCCGCAGGACCATGCCACTCCTGTGCTACAACAGGAAAATGCACCCAAGAGCTAGTATCCATCTAGAGCTCCCCAAGGCCCAACCTTCCAGAGTCACAGCGACTTGGGAAACAGGGACCGGCCGGGAGTGCCGACACCTGCCACAGGTAATTAGCTCTCAGTGGAAAACCTCAGCCCACCCTGGGGGGCCTCTTCCTGCAGGGGCCTCAGCTCTCAGCCTCAGGAATCACACAGCTAACAGGGATGCCCACAGTGTCACAGGTGAGCCAGGGACAGCTGCTGTGGTTCACCTGAATGAGTTTTTGCTGTGGACACGAGAGCCTGGTTGACCAACCGCCAGTGTCTGACCCTCCTCTTCTGACCTGTGATACAGTTGAAGAACATAGGGACTTAGTCTTCCCATCCTTCCTTGCAACTAGGAGTGGGCATGGGATTCAACCCTGGCCAAGTGCAGTGCGGCCCAAGTCTCTTACAGTAGATGGGACCTCGGCTTCCCAGGCTCAATGACCATGAAGAAGCAGGCAATGCTTCTTCCCATTTAGGAGGGTGGCAGCAAGGCCACCCTGACGTCATCCGTCAACATCTGCAGCCCTCAAATGACTCCCAAATCATTTACGCCACCGTGGTCAGAATTTTCATTACTTGTAGCCAAACACCATCATGAAATATATAACTCCTCATAAAATTAGATAAGAATACAAACTCTTTCCTAGAAGCACG